GAGCTTCCTCTCGCGTCGCGGAGCATTCGCCGCGGAAGGATTTGGACCAACTCGGGCATTCAATCGTTAATGTTAGGGCGCGCGTGTCCCCTACAGGCGGATGTTGGACGAACAATTATAAATGTCTCAAAGATACTCCGGTCCACAAATCGTCCCCAATCTAGTTCTGGACTATTTTTGAACATTCCTCCTGTAGAGGGACACGCCCGACTTAACGTTAACGCGGAGCTGAACTCTATACACTGACGCGTTTTCTGGCCCCGCACTGCAACTCGCAAAGCGAAGCGGATCCTGGCGTGTACGGAATCCTGGTGTATACACGTTTGGTTGCTTCCCCAGGAAAGCGGGGGAAAAAGTATACACCGCACCACCCCGACGTCGCCCCCGACCCTCAAAAGAGTCCTGGGATAGAACAACAGCCCGCCGCTGGTAATGCATATGTTCCAGTTTCCGACATTCGCCACGGAAAGATTTGAACCAATTCGGGCATTCAATCGTTAAAAGGGCTACGGCAAGTTCGTGTCATGCCGACCGTGGCGCTGGTTCGTGACACCGCGGGGATCGTTCAACCTTGAACGATCGGCCGTTTCCGAAACGTCCGATCATTCAACATCGACCGATTTTGGGTCGCCAGCTGCGTTCAACGTTGAACGCCGGCGGCGGGGTCGCCGCCGGTCGGCACGACGCGAACCTACCCTAAACGACTTCTGCAGTCCCTCGACTCACGCTGGAGCGGCCACGATTTGCTCCACATTGCCCTGGGGATTGTTTGGATTAGCTGGAGTTGCCCGGGTTTGCCTGGATTTGTCTGCATTGATCTGCAGCGACCTTGACTTCTTCGGCTTGATCCCCACAAGGCGATTGACGAAAGGTCGTCAAGCCCTCAGGGATGCAAGGGCTCTTCAGGATTTGGGCGTGTATTTTGCATCGGGGGGCTCTTACTGGGCCCTGGGACCGTAAGGAAACTGCTAGGGATGGAGAGCCAGTCCCGGGAAGGGGCTCCGGACCTCCAGTGGCGCAAGCGGCATCGGGGATCACGCGGGAGGATCACGCGGCATCGGGATCACGCAAGCGGCATCGGGGATCCGCCGACCCTCGCTTGCCCCGGGTGAGAAGGTGTGTGAGATGATTGGCTGTTCCCCTCCGCCCTTTCCCCCTCCCCTGGGGCCGAGCATCGCATTATGGAGGGGGAGGGGCTGGGGGGGGGGCCCAGGGGGGTGGGGGTGCGAGCTTCCCAGCGCACCCCTGAGGCTCTCCAGCCTCCAGGGAGCCCCAAGACGGCCCAATGAGCACCGAGAAATCCAAGAGAGCGTCGAGACGGCCCAGGGTAACTCCGCGACGGTCCAAGATGGCTCAAGACGGCCTACGAGGCCCCCAAGACGGCCCAAGAGCGCTCCCAGAGTGCCGCCGAGAGGGGCCCTAGAAGCAAACATCGCCACGCACATGTTCGACATACGCGCTTCTTACGGAGCCCCGAAGACCGTCCAAAGACGCCCCATGAGGCCCCCAATAGGGCCCCAAGACGGCCTAATAGAAGCCCAAGAGGACACAAGAGGGCCTCACGACGGCCCCAGGGGCCGATAAGACGGCTCAGGAGTGTCCCAAGAAGGGCCCACGAGGGCAATACAAACTAAACCCTCGAATATTTCCCGCCGTCATGGCCCCATGAGCCCCCCCCAGTGACCCCCGAGGCGCCCCCAATACGCCCCAAGACGCTTCCAAAAGGCACACAAGAGGCCCCCAAGGTGCACCCGAGAGGCCCCAAAAGTAAATCAGATGCCCCCTCCAAGAGGCCCCTGCGAGGCATTCCAGAAAAAACCTCATGTGCATCCCCGAGGCTCGTGGCGCACAGGCCAGACCACGCCTCTCGACGAATTCGCTGCCACTGGGGCCCGCGGAATTGCGCAGGCCTCGTGAACAACGAGGTGAATCTAATGGCGAGGCAGCATCCCTTCCTTATCCTCCCTCACCCCCTCGTCCCTCCCTCCTCCCTCACCCTTCCTCCTCCCTCACCCCCTCCTCGCTCCCTCGCTCCCTCCCCCTTCCGTCCGCGCCTTCCGCTGCGCTCGCTGCGCTCCCCCTCCTCCCTCCCGGCACTCGGTGCCCGCGCCTTCCGCTGCGCCCGCTGCGCTCACGACCGAGGGGCTGCAGCACTCGCACAGAAGACCTCCTCCTCCGCCCGCGCAGCGGCTGCACGGAGGGAGGGCGGCTCTCATGCTCAGAGCGGGGCCGTCGATGGGTCCATCCTGAGAAGGTTCTGCCCCCACAAATACCCAATTGGGGGGGTCCCAGGGGGGGAGTCGTTTTCCTCCTCCTCGTCCTCCTCCTCCTCCTCCTCCTCCTCCTCCTCCTCCTCCTCTCCTCCCTCCTTATCTCCGCCTCCTCCTCCTCCTCCTCCTCCTCCTCCTCCTCCTCCTCCTCCTCCTCCTCCTCCTCATTATCATTATCATTATCATTCTCTTCCTCCTCCTCCCCCTCCTGGTCGTCGTCGATGTCTTTTAGGGTCGGCGGCACCGGCCGTCAGGCCTTCACAATACCTGACAGTAGGGGCTCGACCACGAGAAACATTGCACAGGAAACCCAGCCCAGGAACCGCAGGACGTTCACTGATGTTTGGCGTGGGAGCCTCGCGCTCTCTCCACAGCAGAACCGTCGAGACCCAAGAAGCCCAGGGCACCCTGGAGGCAAGCAGGGGGTTTCTTGGCACGTGTCTCCACTGTACAGCTCGAAGGATGAAGGACAGCTTCTTTCAAAATGGACCTCCCGCCTGACTTGCGGGCCCCAAGGTACGCATGGAATGCGGCTGCGCACAGTCAGCCCGCAGCGGCAGCACCAGCTGACCTCAACGGGCTCCCGGGATGGCCCGAGGAGGATGAAGCTGTCGAACAATCGGAGAGCTGCACTGGCACGAAGAGCGGTACAAAGGCCGCCAGGAAGGCACACAACGGCCACGCGATACTCCATGCCGGCGGCAAGAGGCCCGTCGTCTGCGGGCGCCCTCCCTGAAGCGCATCCACGGGCGGCGTCCCCGAACCTGATTTTTTCTGAGGCCGCCTATGAATTCCCCGCGTCACATGCCGCGCCGCCTCGAAGAGGATCGAGAAAGAGAAAGGCATCACAAGCACGAACTTTTGGGATTCCACGTGGGGTTTTGCATCTGCACTGGAACCCCCTGGCGGCGACTCCGGCGACGCCCCTGGCGTGCTCCGTGCGCCGGGGAGGGTTCAGCGCAGATCCAAGAAAGCCGCATGATGTCATGCCGTTTTTCCTCTAGTGGACGATTCTGAATCCGCACTCGGGGGGGTCTCGAGAGTGTCAACAACACCAAGAGGCCTCGAGCTTCGATCTTCATGTTTGTTGCTGCTCTCGCTCTCTCTCTCTCGGTCTCTCCTTCCTCGCCAGGCCTGCCGCTATGGCGCGCCCCCGTCTGGCTCTGCGCATCCGCCTGGAGAGCGCCTTTTGCGATTGCAGCACGAGCGGAACTGGCTGCGAGTGCTGCGCCCCGGGGCCAGCCGTTCTGGAGCGAGCGCGGAGGCTTCAAACCCCCGAAAAGGTTCGAGAGGTCAAGGATCGACCTCCAGGGAGTCACGCTGGAGCCCCCTCCCTCCTCGCATCTCCTCTTCCTCCTCTTCCCCCTCCTCCTCCTCCTCCTCCTCCTCCTTCTCCTCCTCCTCCTCCTCCTCCATCGCTTCTCCTTTAAAATTACTCCTTTCTGTCGCACCCCGAGACGTGTCGGTAGGGCAGGCCGGGCGTTTCGCCTGAGACGTCCTCACCATTTATGCCCCTTAACCTTAAACATTGCAACAGATTCACGGATGGAGGGCGGGTCGTTTTCAAAATGTGGCTCTCGCCTTAGGGCCGCACACATTGGTTTCAAAGGTTCGCAGGAGCTTCACGGATGGAGGGCGGTACCTTTTCCAAAATGTTATTCTTGCATTCGCCCTGCGCATATTCGTCTTCAGAGTTTACAGCAGTTTCAAGGATTTTTATTGCTGACGTCCCAGAAATGGTGTTTGGGCACAATGTTGGACTGTCAGGGAGCATCAGCCACGTTGTTTCGCGGTGTTGCAAATCGTCGGGAGGCAACAATAACGTTGATCCGCGGCGTTGAAGCCGCAAGGATGGTGTTGTGGCACGGTTCAGGATTTCCGGACGGATCCTCCAACGGGGCACTGTCCTCAGCGAGAACAAACCTTTGCAGGAACCGATGAAGAGGAACTTGAAGGGAGGGCGTGTTGCAACATCGTTGACGTGACTTGGGTTTACACTGGCTCCTCCTCCTCCTCCTCCTCATCCTCATCCTTCTCCTCCTCCTCCTCCTCCTCCTCCTCCTCCTCTTCCTCCTCCTCCATCCCTTCTCCTTATAAATAACTCCTTCCTGTCCTTCCCGCCCTTCCTTCCTTATCAGAGTGAGGGGGCCGAACGGTCATTCACTGTCCCTGGGTGCGTGGCTGACAGGCAATTCCGCGGTGCGGATTCGTGTTGTTGTTTGTTGTTGTTTGTTGTCGTCGTCCCACCCGCAACCCACCCCGCGACCCACCCGCGACCCACCCCGCGACCCATCCCGCGACCCACCCCGCGACCCACCCGCGACCCACCCGCGACCCACCCAGCGACCCACCCCGCGACCCACCCCGCGACCAACCCCGCGACCCACCCGCGACCCACCCCGCGACCCGCCCGCAGCCCACCCCGCGACCCGCCCGCAGCCCACCCCGCGGCCCACCCGCGACCCACCCGCGACCCACCCGCGACCCACCCGCGACCCACCCCGCGACCCACCCGCGACCCACCTTCGACCCAAACCACGTTCAAGATACAAACCACCATTTCCGGCGCCTGCGGCGGGCTTTTTTTGCATTCCTTCCAGGTGGAGAGCCCGCGACCCACCCCGTGACCAACTTGCGACCAACCCGCGACCCCAAACCACGCTCAGGGTACAAACCACATTTCTCGGCGCCTGCGGCGGGCATCGTTTGCAGTCGTTTCGAGTGGAGAGCCCGCGGCCCACCCGCGACCACGTTCAGGGTACAAACCGAATTTTTCGGCGCCTGCGGCGGGCATCTTTTGCATTCGCTCCCGGTGGAGAACCCGCGGCCCACCCGCGACCCACACCACGTTCAGTATACAAACAACATTTTTTGGCGCCTGCGGCGGGCTGCTTTTGCATTCCTTCCAGGTGGAGGTGGAGAGCCCGCGACCCACCCGCGACTCAAACCACGTTCACTGAACAAACCAATGCCGAGGGGGAGGAGGGGAAGGAGGAGGGGGAGAAGGGGGGGAGGGGGAGGAGGAGGACGAGAAGGGGGAGGAGGATGATGATGGACGACAATGGGAGGACGATGATGGAGGCCGATGAGGGCGAGGACGACAATGGGAGGAAGATGATGAAAGGACGAGGGGGGGAGAGGGAGGACGAGGAGAAAGAGGAGGAGGAGGACGAAGTGGAGGAGGAGGATGACGATGACGATGAGGACGAGGACGAGGACGAGGACGAGGACGAGGACAAGGAGGAGGAGGAGGAGGAGGAGGGAGGAGGAGGAGAGCGCCATCGACAGGGAAGGTGGGGGCCACGAGGTCCGCCGGCTCGACGACGCCCGCGTCGCCCGCGCCCGCCCCCTCACTCTTATCCGCAATTGCGGGGTGCTACGTAAATAACTCCTCCTCCTCCACCTCCTCCTCCTCCTCCTGCTCCTCCACCTTCCCTCCCTCCCTCCCTCCCTCCGCCCTCTCCCTCCCTCCCGCCCTCCCCCTCTCTCTCTCCCCTCCGTCATCGCCGGAAGAGGACTTGCACGACGGCGATGCCTCCGCGCGCAGGAGGCGTCCGCGGAGGAGCTGTCCGCGGAGGTCCCCGCGGAGCTCCCGGCGAGACCCTTGGGGGGGACCCCGCGAGCTCCGACGGGAGCCGAAAACGCCCACAGACCTCGGCCCTCGGCCCATCGGCCCTCGAGCCTCGAGCCTCGAGCCTCGAGCCTCGCACGACGGCAACGACGACGACGACGAGCACCACCACCACCACGACGACGACGACGACGGCGACGACGACAACCACGACGACGACCACGACGACGACGACGACGACGACGACGACGACGACGACGACGACGACGACGACGACGACGACAACAACGACCACAACGACGACGACGACGACGACGACGACGACGACGACGACGACGACGACGACGACGACGACGACGACGGCGGCCGCGAGACCCGCGCGCCGGCCGCGGCCGCCTCCAGCTGCAGCTCCCCGGAGGCTGCGGCGGCCTGCTGGAACGCCGCCTCGCCCTCGCCCGCGCCCGCGCTCCTGCTGCCGAGGGGCGACGATAGTCAAGAGTCGACCCCTGAACCTGTCCCCATATTCCTCCCCCTCATCCTCCTCCTCCTCCTCCTCCTCCTCCTCCTCCTCCTCCTGATCCCCCAGGGGAGCGCTCCGGCCAAAATGGCGGAGAAGATCCGGCCGTGGCGGCGAGAAGCCTCCTGGAGGGCCAACAACGAGCCAATTACGCGATGATCAAAAAGGGGACTTACGCGGTGGCTTACGCAGCGATCTTACGCGGTGGCTTACGCGGGCCGCCCGCGCGGCACGCCACATCGGAAGCAAGGGCGCTCACGCGCGACCTTACGCTGGCAGCTTACGCGCCAACGTCGGCGCAGACGACCCCGTTTTCATGTGTCGCTCAATAAAGAACTGAGGGGCGAGGATGGTGGGGAAAACGTCGACCTCGAATCGGCGACTCCTCGCCGAGAGGTCGGCGATCAACACCCGATGGCGAATCCGCGCGCTCCTGGGCGGCGCGGCGCGGGCTCTCTCGGCCCCTATCGGCGATGAATTGGCGATGGGGGGTCGATGCATTCCCCCCCTGAGCCTATCCTTAGGTCGGGCATGCCCCCCTACTACAGGCGGATCTTGGACGAGAAATTAGCAAGAATCCAAACATATGCCAAAAATGGTCAGAACATCATCAAAACATCGTCCCCGTACAATTGTTTGACTATGTTTGAAGCTTCCTCCCGCAGAGGGACATGCCCGACTTTAAGCCCATCCCCCCCATCCTTGCCCCTGAATGGGCGATGGGGGGATCGACGGGCAGGCGGAGGCAGGCCGGCCCCGGGCCGCGCTCCTGCGGCACGGGTTGGACGCCGGAGAGCTCCGGCTCCGAGCTTTTCGCGGGCTTCGGGCGCCCTCGTCGGCTCTCGGCGGCTGTCCAGCCTCGGGATGTGCTCCAGCGGCTGCGCCTCGCCGAAAGCGTTCCCAAGGGGTGCCCGGATCGACCCGAACGGCCGCCAGAAGCCCGAGCTGTGGCCCGAAGACCAGCCTCGGCGGCGGGCGGCGGCAGGCAGACCTGGGCCGCCTCGCTCCGCACTCTCGCGCGCCGTACCGCGCGCGCACCGCGCGCGATGATTTATCGCGTGTTGCCAGAAGTGCCCAAGGCCCAAGGAGCCCCCCGGGATTTCCAAGGAGGCCCTCACGGCCTCCTGAGCTCCCCTCGTCCAGAGCTGCCCTCGCGAGGCCCAAAGGGCCCCAGGGGGTCCAAAGTTGATCGAACAGCTGGTGGCACCCTGGGCCAGGTCGGCGGAGAGCCCGGGGGAAGTGAGAAGCATCGGACCTTATCAGAACGCTCGGAAGTCTCGAAGCCTTCCCCGAAGGCATAGAAAACTTCTCAGACGGCCGGAGCGCTTCTGAGAAGTCCCGCCGTCTTCTGAGAAGGCCTTCTCCTGCTCGCTTCCCCCCCAGCGCGCCGCCGAGCTTGCTTTGCGGGACCCAAGTCTCTGGCGGCCGTTCGGGCACCTCCAGGGGGTTCTCTGCGAGGCGCAGCTGCTGGAGAGCGCCCCGAGGCTGGAAAACCGCCCAGAGCCGACGAGGACGCCCGCGACAACGCCAAACAACTCCAGCCCGAAATGGAGCCTCCGAACTCGGCTCGCCGCCTGCCAGGGGCACCTTTTTGGAGGCGAAAAACTACCCTTAGGTCGGGCGCATGTCCCCCTACAAGCGGATTTTGGGCGAAAAACAGAAGAATGAAAAACAACCAAAAAAACGTCTCCTGACTATTCTTGTCTATTTTTGAATACTTGTCTATTTTTGAATACTCCTCCTGTAGAGGGACAGGCCCGACTTAAAACTATCGTGTTGGGGGGATAAAGCTGGGAGGATGAAGGGAATGAGCAATAGCACGCCCGGATGCAGTGCACGATGCCCTCGGCCGCCTACGGGCAAGGGTACATCCTCATCTCTCCTGACCCCATCCTACCCACCCGAGACTTGTCTTCCTGATTTCTTCCAAGAAGAGAAACGCCATAAACAAAAACTGTTGGCGCTCCGCGCGGATTTCTTGGATCTGCGCTGGGCACCCCACCCTGGCGCGCGGAGCGCGCCAGGGGCGGCTCCGGAGGCGCCGCCGAAGGGGTGGGGGCCAGCGCGGATCGGAGAAATCTGCGCGGAGCGCCCAAAGTTCATGTTTATGGCGTGTTTTTCTTCTTCGACTTCTGGCTCTCCCCCGAGACTTTGGAGTCCCGAAACGGTGCTGTGACAGACCGTGCGGTTACCTCGAAATCCCCCAAGACCTCACCGCACGGTCCGTCAACGCACGGTTTTGGGACCTCAGATGCCCCAGTCGCCCGAGACGTCCTCGGAGAATGACCCGAGTCCCAAAACCGTGCGGTGACCCCGAATCCCCACCGACCCACCACACGGTGTGGTCACCGCCTCGCTTGGGGGCCCCGAGAGACTTCTTCTCTTCGCGCCCCCGGCAGCCCACGCGCGCCGAAGCTCCTCGGGGGAGGGCGGCCGGAGCGCGCGGCCCCCCCTCGCGCCCGGGCGGGCGATCCCCGACAGGGGGGCGGGCAGGCAGAGAGAGAGACAGCTCGAGAGGCCGCAGAGATGGCCCGGAAGTCGAGCGAGGGGCAAGGATAGGGGGGGGGGACTGGCACAGGGGGGATGCATCGACCTGGAATCGGCGATACATCGCCGACAGATCGGCGATAGGCCACTGATAGTGAATCCGTACCTTCCTGGGCAGGTGGGGGCTATCGGGCCCATATCGGCGATCAATGGGCGACTCCATGTCGATGCATCCCCCCCTATGCAAATCCGCCCCTATCGTTGCCCCTGATCGAGTTGGGGATCGACTACATAATTGATTTACCCCAGATTTGATGTGTTCGTCGAATCTGCGAAACGTGCGAAAAAAAACATGCTAGTTGATCTACGGACATTCCAGGTCTATTTGTAGATTCGACGAGGAAATCAAGTTTGGGGTAAATCAATGTTGTAGTCGATCCCCTACTCGAAAGAGCCCCCCACCAAGACGGCCCAAGATGGCCCCGAAGTGGCCCCAAGATGGCCACGAACCCGCGTAACAAAAACTGCAGGTGCGCGCTCCTGAGGCCACGATCCCTCGTGCAAAAACGATGGGCCCGCGGTCACGAGGCCACGATCCACGCTCCCGAAGCCACGATGCCCCGTAACAGAAACTATGGATCCGCGTTCTCAAGCTTCAAAGACGGCCGAGGCAGACCACCAAGACCGCCAAGATGGTACAAGATGCCTCCAAGACGGCCCAAGATGGCCCCAAGAGGGCCCAAGAGGCCCCGAAGACAGCCCAAGAGGGTAGCGACGGTAACAAGATGACTCCCAGCAGGGCAGGAATAAACAACCATTGATGTTTTCCGGGCGTTTGGAAGAGTTCGACGCCTTCACTGGAGGCCTCCCAGACGGGGCCCGAGTAGATGGGTTCGGAGGATCGCGCTGCACCGCCGATGCATCGGCGACGCCAACGCGGCGCAAACCAGGCTCTGCATCGAGCCGCATCGGCGATGCATCGGCGATGCGGCACGAGTCTCCGACCCCGTCTACTCGGACCCCATCTGGGAGGCCTGGGCAGACAGACAGAGAGGCAGACAGTCAGAGAGGCAGACCGACGGACAGGCAGACAGACGGACAGGCAGACAGAGAGGACGGCCTGACGTCCGCTCCCGGCCGGGAGGGGAAGTCAAGAGGCTGCCCGGGCAGGCCGTGCGCGGCGAAGAGGAGGGCGAGAAGGGTCTGGAGCTGGACTCAGGCACAGGAGCTCGCCCGCAACTCCACTCGGCGGCATGCCCCGGCCGGCTGGGAGCCTCAGGACACTGCGACAAATCGAACGCCAGGATGGCAGGTGACGGCTCGCACGGCGAGCGCTCGGCCTCGGGGTGGGCCGTCCCAGAGGACGGGGAAGCTTGCCGGCAGGCGAGGTCCAAGCAACACACAGACGACCCAGGAAACCCTGCACCCAAGCAATTGATATCTTAACTGCCCCGATGCGCAACACGCAACCCGTAGCGAGTTGGCACAGAGATGAAAGCGTAGACTGATAAAATAGGTCTGGCGCGGTACAGACGCCAAAGATAGCCCAATACGTGCCGAACCAACACGCAGCGTGCTGATACGGACGTTCTGAGCACTGTACGTGCTCGGTTCAGAACGGGTGCAGCAGGGCAACTAAGGATGTCATATGATGTTCATTGGGGATCTGATGACCTGGGTCAATCCAGACCCAAGTTCGTCAGGCCTTGCAGGATCATGCACGATCCTACAGGATCCTGCAGGATCCTGCACCCAAATCCGGGTCAGTGCACCCCTGGCCCTGCAGGATCCCGCAACATCCGGCGCTCTGACTGACCCCCGTTCGCATTGACCCCCCCGTCTCTTGTTTGGACGCCCGAGATGGGTAGGGAATAAATGAGCACAGTGCCGATCAACAAATGTTGTCCAAAACCGACAGCGGCCGCTGCGGGGCAGGCGGCGTGTTACAACTGTTGTCTTGAAAGAACGACGTCCGCGGCGGCGCAGACAGCGACTCCCGTTCAGAATGAACAGGATCTGCTGCTGGGCATCGTACCCATTCTTTCCGTACCCATTTCGACCATCCCGATCCCGAGCCCCGAGCCTGCTTCCGCCGCCAGCCCCCCGCCGAGGGCGAGAAGTGCGCCGACGGCGAGGCCCTTCCTGTGGAGAGCGCCCCGCACCTCCCCCGTCCCGCGGGCTGGGTCCTCGTGCTCGCGGAGAGGCGCAGCTCCTCGTTCGCCCTCGCCTGCGGCGGCATCAGGGCAAGGGGAAGGAGGAGGAGGGACGGGGAGAAGGAGGACAGCGACAACGAGAGAGGAGGGACGATGAGGAGGCAGAGGACGAGGATTCCTACTGCAGTCGTGGTCTTTTTCCCCAGCCCTCCTGTACTGTTGGGCCCTCAGTAGGAACCCGCAGCGCAGCGCATCTCCCCCTCCTTCCCCCTCATCGTCCTCCTCCTATCCTTACCTCTGCTGTCCAGAAACATACCATATTCGGCACATGCATCATGCGTGACGTGCCCCCACAAACTGCCTTCCTTACGGCCCCAGCGGGAGGCTCCGCGTGGCGGCACCGCGCCGATATTCGTAGAAGAAGAAGAAGATTACGCTACCGAGGAACCCCACATACATAAAATATGTCTGGCGTGATGATAGCTGACGTGAGACTTGCGAGAGTGATGCAGGTGGCCGTTGCTTCGCCGATCCCGTTGGTGGCGCCTGTCAAGCCTTGGGAGCCCGAGTACCTTGAGGGGGTCCATAGGCCCTGGGACACCGACCCCCCTGAGCAACCTCTATGGTGTCGAGAAAATGCCACGCCTGCTGTGCCCTGGACGACCGGCGCGCATAGCGGCCACGGTGAGAGACCACCCCCTGCGCACCCTCCATGGCGTCGAGACACTGCCACGCCTGCTATGCCCTGGACGATTGGCGTGCATAGCGACCGCCGTGCTCCATGCTCTGAAGCATCCTCGTAGCCCAATTGTCGCTTGAGGCACCTGTGCATACTGCATAACACGCCTGCTAAGCCATGCGACATTGGCGCGTATAGAGACGGCGGTGAGACCCCCCTCTGCGCACCCCCTCTGACGTCCAGAAAGTGCCACGCCTGCTACGCCTTGCGGCATTGGCGCGTATAGAAACCGCGGTGAGAGACCACCCCGTGGTCTCTCATCGCCGTCTCTATACACCCCCGTCGTCCAGGCACAGCAGGCGTGGCACTTTCTCGACACCATGAAGGGGTACGCGGGGGGGGTCTCTCACCGCGGTCTCTATACGCCCCAGTCGTCCAAGCACAGCAGGCGTGGCACATTCTCGACGCCAGAAGGGGTGCGCAGAGGGTGGTCTGTCGCCGTGGTCTCTATACGCCCCGGTCGTCCAAGCACACCAGGCGTGGCACTCTCTCGACACCATAGAGGGTGCGCAGGGGGTGGTCTCTCACCGCGGTCTACGCCCTGGTCGTCCAGGCACAGCAGGCGTGGCACTTTCTCGAAGCCATACGGGGTGCGCAGGGGGGGGTCTCTCACCGCCGTCTCTATACACCCCGGTCGCCCAGGCACACCAGGCGTGGCACTTCTCGACACCATGAGGAGATGCGCAGGGGGTGGTCTCTCACCGCGGTGTCTATACGCCCCAGTTGTCCATGCACAGCAGGCATGGCACTTGTCTGGACACCATACGGGATGCACAGGGAAGGGTCCCTCACCGCGGCGTGCGCCGTCCGCCTGCCCACCGCGTCGAGACTCGTACGCCGTCCGCCTGCCTACCTACAGCCCCGCTCTCTTCCGTGGTCGTCATGGCTCAGGCTGTTGTTCGCACGGCGCGTCAGTCTCCCAAGGCTTGACCGGCATCACCAACGGCATCGGCGGGCCAACGGCCACCAGCATCATTCTCGCATGTTTCACTTCAGCTATCATCACCCCAGACGCAATATAAGTAAGTGGGGTTCCTCGGTAGCGTAATTCTCCTTAGGCTTTGAAGGATTTGGGCAGTTGCTTCTTTTCGGCCTTCCGACGGCCCGAGACGACCCAAGAGCCCAGAAAGATCGCCCAAGAGGCCTCCAGGACGGCCCCAGAACGGCCCAAGAGGGCCCCCAAGACGACCCTAAGAGGGGCCAAGGAGACCCCAAAGATGCCTCCAAGAGGCTCCCAGGAAGCTCCCAGGAGGCCCCAAGAGTGCCCCCAGAGGCTCCCAAGATGCCTCGTCCTCCTCCTCCTCCTCCTCCTCCTCCTCCTCCTCCTCCTCCTCATCCTCTGCCTGCTCCTCCTCCTCCTCCTCCTTTCATCCTCCTCCTCCTCCTCCTCCTCCTCCTCCTCCTCCTCCTCCTTCTAATCCTCCTCCTCCTCCTCATTCTGCTCCTCCTCCTCCTCCTTCTCATCCTCCTGGTCTTTCCCGCAATCCTCCCCCGAGTGTTCCCCGAAGGCTTTCCATAGCGGTCGGGGGAACACATGGTTCGATAGCTTGGCAGAGCTCTTGCCACAACGCTCGGACACATGGACCCGAAGAGGCTAAAATTATTGACTCCATTCGGTGCTTGGAGGATGTTCGTTCTTGCTCCTTTTCGGCCTTCCGACGGCCCAAGACGGCCCAAGAAGCCCCCAAAGATCGCCCAAGAGGCCTCCAAAATGGCCCGAGAACGGCCCAAGAGGCCCCCAAGACGGCCCCAAGAGGGCCCCACGACGGCCCAAGAGGCCTCCAAGACGCCCAAGATGGCCTCCAAGCCGGCCCTGGATAATTCCAAGAGGGCCCAAGTCGGCCCAGAGAGGTCCCCAAGACGGCTTCCGACGGCGTCAGACGGGCCAGGAGCCCACTAAGACGGCCCAAGATGGCTCTAAGATGGCCCAAGAGTCCTCCAAGAGGGCGTTCAGGATGGCCGGAAGAGGCCCAAATCATTGATTTCCTGCAGGTATTTGAAAAATTTGGACATTTGCTCATTCTCGGCCTGCCTACGACCCGAGACGGCCCAAGAGCCCCCAAAGATCGCCCCAAGACCGCCCAAGAGGCGTCCAGGATGGCCCCAGAACGGCCCAAGAGGCCCCCAAGACGGCCCCAAGAGGGCCCCAAGACGGCCCCAAGAGGGCCCCAAGACGCCCAAGATGGCCTCCAAGCCGGCCCTGGATAATTCCAAGAGGGCCCCAAGTCGGCCCAGAGAGGTCCCCAAGACGGCTTCCGACGGCGTCAGACGGGCCAGGAGCCCACCAAGACGGCTGAAGAGGCTCCCGAGAAGCCCCCACAGGCCCCCAAGAGACCCAAGGAAGCCCCCAAGATGCCTCCAAGAGGCTCCCGGGAAGCTCCCAGGAGGTCCCAAGAGCCTCCTCCTCCTCCTCCTCCTCCTCCACCACCTCCACCTCCTCCGCCTCATCCTGCTCTTCCCCGCCATCCTGCCCCAAGTGTTCCCCGAAGGCTTTCCATAACGGTTGAGGGAACACATGGTTCGATAGCTTGGCAGAACTCTTCCCAGCACGCTCGGCACATGGGCGATTCTAAAAGGCCGGGGGCGGCGGTAATTCGCAACAGGCGTCTTCGATAACGCCAACGTCTCAGTATGCGCTGATGATTCCTATCCGCCCCCGCATGATGTTCCCAAATGCGCCAAGGCAGCGCCGAGACGCACCGACGCGACTCTCACCTAACCCATTATGATAAAGAGGGGGTCGGCGGCGGGGGGCGAAGCCCTTACGGATATGGTCTTCACCCACGATGGGGCGGTGGACCCCCACCCATTTTGAACGAGGAAACGAGACCCACCGTTTTCTGGACGTCCAGGATGCACGTCTGGGATGTGTTGGGAGGGATGCGGCGGGGAAAGACAGAACGCGCTCACCCCGAGGAAGAGGGGCAGGACGACGACGAGCCAAGGGAACTATGATAGCAATATGAAGAGGAGCATTGTGATGACAAGCTAGGGGAAGGGGAGAACAACTGGCAAGGCGTAACGGGGAAAGGCGGAGAGAGAGGAGGTAGGATACAGGCCGGGGAAGGAAGAGAGCAGGAGGAGGGAGGAGAAAGGGGGGAGACAGGGAGGAGGGGGCAGGGAGGAGGGTGGGAGGGAGGACCCAAAATGAAGGATGGAGAAGGGATGAGGGAGACGGAATGAGAAGGAGGAAAGGCGACAAAGATGGTAGACAAACGAGGAATAAGAGCACGAGGAGGGTTTACGAGCAGAGGGGAGACGATGGAGAAGAACAGGGAATGTATGATGAGGAAGCGGAAGAGGAGAAGGAGCTGGAGGAGGGAAGGGGGAGACTGGATGACACGGATGGCGACGAGGCAAGAGAATGTGCAACAGCAGCGGGAGGACGCAAAATGAGAGAGGAGAAGCAAGAGGGAAGACGAATGACGATCATGGAGAAGGAGGGGGGGATAAAGGAGCAGCAGGAGGAAGGAAGGCGGGGAGAAACGAGGAGGAGGAGGAGACGAGCGTAAAGAGGGAGGTCCGCGTCCCACTAGCCGACGCGGCCAGGCGCGGGGGCGGCGCCTCGGGTGGGCGTGGGCGCACCTCCAGCTGCCCACGAAGTCGGCGCGGCCGTAGGTGTGCACGGCGGCCGGAGTATTTCAATCGGTGCAATTTGATTCGTAGCGGGAGGCATGAAGCGATGACAGCTCGAGAGAGGAGCAGGGGAGGCGCAAGCAGTAGCAAGGGCAGAGCTCACGAGCGACGGACAGGGATAGGAAAGGCCCAGAGAAGCAGCGCCAGGAGGGATTATGGGCGAATCTGGAGCTGGCGGCCAGCCATGCACAGGGGAACTGAGACGAAGCGGGATGGTAGGGCGCACGACAGGAGCAGAGAGCACATGGGTGAGATGGCCAGGGGGGCCAACACACTTGACTGGGATCGTCGCCAAAATGCAGCGACGCCGTACATTAGGGGGAGGGTAGGAGCGGAAGGGTGGGGAAGCAGGGGAAAAGCGCAGCTGGCCGAGCTCAGCCTGCGCCCTTGGGGTAGACAGCGTCATCGACCTCGAGCACGACACCAGCCGAGAGGGCTCAACCGATGACGTCCACCCAACTGTCCCAGACGACGCAATTCTCCCACATGAACTCACTCGATCAGCGTCAGACGATCGTCCGCTCGCATCTCCATACTCACAGTTTACTCCAGTAGAGACTTCAGGCTCGCAATATGCTCGGGGAACCTGGGCAGGCGGGCTCGAGGAGCACCCACCCCCAGGATTTTGCGTACTGACGCCAGCAAGAGACGTGACCTCGCAACTTACTCCTGAGCCCTTATTTACATCAGAGGCGGTCGACCTCCGAACTCGAGACAAAGGCTCGCAACTTACTCCAGAGCCGTTATTTCCATCAGAGGCGGTCGACCTCCGCGATCTAACGCCAGTGGCCGCAGGGCTCGAGGAGCACCCTGCAGCAGAAACCTGGAGAAGGAAAGAGGCAGGGTCGACGTCCCCATCTCCATCGGCGTCATCACCATCTTCAGATTCCATTGTTGAGACCAGTAAAGAAAGGTAGCGGACCGCTCCGTTGGCAGTAACGGTGGGCAGGACCTCGACACCATCGCTGTCCACAAGGAGGTCGCGTACACGTTGTGGTGCAGCCAGTCCCATGTATTGCCTCATCTCTCTGCGTATCTCACGAAGTGCCTGGTAATGTCGATCAGCCGCCTCCTCCCATCGCTCGTGTCGAGTCAAGGCGTGGCGAGGCTCATTCAGCCACCGCAGGTATGCCACAATGTTAAGGCGCCCCTCACGAGAAGTGTCCCAGGCAACCGAGCAAATATGACGAGCGAGTTCGTCGAGTGTGCCACTCCAACCAGAAGAATCCACCCATTCCATCGCATCTAATTTGGCGCGCACGCACGGGATGCACCACAGCCACCAGTCAGCACAGCCACTCTCGGGGTCATCCAGGCGCAAGACCCAGCGCGTAGCCCTCGAAGCAATACTTTCGGCAAAGACAGCTGGCGGTGCATGCTCCGCAGAGGTAGAGTGTGGATGGCCAGCAAGATTCAGAACAGGAGTCCCAGGTGACGGCGTCGACATCGGAGGGGTGGCAGCGCTAGGGCACCACAGCTGTTCAGGAAGAGCAGGGTCCTCTCGAACAGGAAGCCCACCAGCACGAAGGCGGTCGACACGCTTGATAGTCGCTCGATATTCACGCTCAAGCCGTGCCACATCAGCCTCACATGTGGTTGGGACACTCAGCGCCGCTGCACGGACCGCGGAGAGCGCCACGGTGGCGGTCAGCGGCCACGAGAACATGGATGCCGCAGGCTGCGGCGAGGTTGCCGCGGAAACGGGCGCCCGCACGTTCACGACCTGCCCTGAAGGCAGGGCCTCGCACTGAGCCAAAGCGCCAGCAGACAGGGGCACAGGGAACTCTGGCTGGAGAGCAGGTTGGCCGTCTTCATCTGAGCCCGTGGGAGAACCCGAAAGAGCACCACCGCGCATCGAATGACTATGCCACACCTCGTCGTCAGACGGAGTGGGTGGGACCAGGCCTGGGAGAGGGGCCGCGGCGTCGGAGCTCACACTGGAGGTGGACGAGGAAGTGAGCACATCCCACTGAGGCTGCCTGCGGCGGGTCGCCTGGACATCGGGAGGAGGTTCCCACCGTTTCAACTTGTCCGAAGGTCTGGCCAGACGAGAGGTGCGGACGGCGGCCTCAACATAACCGCGTAGCTGACGAGGAGTCGACACCAACGCACCCTGCCGAGCATGGTTGAAGACCTGGTAATAGACATAGAGAGCCTCGAAGTGGTCAGGGTGGGGATGGGTAAGGCCAAGACGCTGAGCCAGGGGACGAGGCAGGGCACGTTGTAGTCCCTTGCTGACAGCCTGGTACAATTTAGGGCAGCGGAGATAATGCTGCTGCCGATCTGGGCTAGGGCATCCGAAACGGCACCGAAGTTTACCCCGTGGGTGGATAATCCTATAGGACGTCAGCCATCCATGCCCCCAAGTCCGTAAGGCCGCCATAGCCCAGCTTTGCGGGACCAACGCCAGAAGCTCCTGAATAGCGGGCCAGTGAATCTGGTTGAGGAAGGGGTGGTAAGCCGTGAAGAGCGGGGTTAAGTGGCGAATCAGCATAGCGTGCAGAGGTTTGTGCATACACATATTCTGACCCAGTGAGCGAGCAGCCGCACGTTGTAGCTTGGGTCTTCGTGTCGTAACCTCAGCTTCCTCACGAATAGCCGAGCGAGCAGCGACAAGTAGGGGCTCCTGAGACCTCACGTGGACCAGCTCAAGGTGTTCGACAAACGCTGGGGATTTCCAGAAAGCTGGATAAACACGAGAGCGATCCATAGAAGCCAAAGGGATAGCGTCAAACTTCCCCTCCACGACCTCTCTGTGCCAAAGCGAAGCCGTTTGCCGCAGCAGCCGCAGGTATTCCTCATAGCCCTGGAAGGTGTGAATAGCAGCACGAAGGTGAGCAGCAGTAGCATGGGCAGCCCACGATGGGATCTGAGGACCACCCCAGGCCGGGAGCTCCAGGACCGATTCGTTCGAAAAGAGGCCGAGGGGAGCACGAAGAACTTGGGCGATAGCACCACGCTCAATGGGCAGGAACCATTCGGGCATAGGAAGGAATTGTGCAACATAGGCCAGACAAGGATAAACCCGCGTGCGGTATAATATACAGTTAGTACAGACCGACGCAACCCCACGTCCCAACATCCGAGAGCGAGATCGTGCCTTCATGAGCGGGCCCCTCCAGTTCATGTCGACCGTCGCATCAGGGCACAAAATCATCCCAAGATAAAGTAACCACCCCTCAACAGCAAAGCCTGACCAGGCACCCGCGATCGAGGCCAGCTGGGCTTGGGTCATAGTTTTCAGGGTTTCGGTCATGCCGCCTACGAGAGGGACCAGGGTGCACTTGCTGATCTTAATCTTGAGGCCCGCAATCTTTTCCATGACACCAAGGACCCGCACCAGGATACGCAGAGAGGCCAGCTCATACAGGACAGCGCCTAGATCATCGGCACAAGCACGGCATATCCCCAGTCGACGATGCTCGATGCTCCGCTCGAGGTCGGCCAGCATGGGAGAGGAGGCGAGAGCATATAAAGACCCCGAGAGACCACAGCCCTGGATGATGCCCGAGCGGATCCAGAAGATGGTCGCGTAGCGTCCCCCATCATGGACCACACCTTCCACTGCCAAATACATCCATCCCACGAAAGCAAGAACCTCGACGGGGAGCCCAAGAGAGCCCAACAGTTGTAGCAAGAAGGCCTGCGACAAGCTCGGAAAGGCCTGCCCGTAGTCGAACCCGACGAGGACAGGGGAGCGGCGCTGAGCAAGGGGACGTTGAGAAGCAAGCCGAGCATGGACATCAAGCTCAAGCACGTTATGGCAGAAATTCCGTCCTCTGATGAAGCCTCGCTGGGAAGCAGGCGCCACGGCTTGGACGACAGGCTCGAGGACCCGATTCATGACCGAGCTCAGGATCTGAACGTCGGTGTTTCGCAGCCCCAGGATCTTAACGTCGGTGTTTAAGGAGGAGGAGGAGGAGGAGGAGGAGGAAGCGCGAGCATGAAGCATGGAGGACGAAGAAGAGACAAGGAGGAGGAGGAGGAGGAGGAGGAGGAGGAGGAGGGAGGAAGAGGAGGAGGAGAAGGAGGAGGGAGGTAGGAAGGAGCAGGAAGGAGTAGGAGGCGGGGGACGCAAAGAAATGAAGAGGGTCGGCGACGGCGGTGGAGGAATGAAAGACCAGGAAGAAGAGACGCTCTGCCCCCCCCTTCCTTCGGCCCCCCTCGCCCAGTCTTTGCCAAGGTATTTCTTCCGCCACCTGCTGCTGGACTGGACCTGCCGAGCGGCGGGGGGGATGGGGTGCACCCCATCACGTTCCCGACCGAGCCATCCTCCTCCCAGGAGGAGGAGGAGGAGGAGGAGGAGGAGGGAGGAGGGAGGGGGACGACCAGTGTCTAAGCACCACACGCTCCAACCACGTTGCAATAGACCCTCCCTCCAAGCTCCCTCTTCACAAGTCCATGCAAGAACGTGTTGTCATTGCCGGAACTGCCCCATTGGAAGACAAGAGCGCGTTTCTTTATGTTCGGCGATGACGGGCGTCATGGGGGGGGGGGCGGGGGGGTATGACGTAACGCCCCCCCCCGCCGTGTGGCTCCGGCACCGCAGCCGCGCCCGCGCGCGCGACGCGACGAGCGACGAGCGACGAGCGACGAGCGACGACGACGACGACGACGACGACGACGACGACGACGACGACCACGACGACGACGATCACGACGACGACGACGACGACGACCTCGACGACGCGATCAGCATGTAGGTGTCGATATGCCCCACTGCGCCTGTGTACACCACAACGCTCGCGTGCACCACAGCGCGCGTGTATACCACAGCGCCTGCGTACACCGCAAGAACCGTGTGCAACGCAGCGCCTGTGTACACCACAATGCTTGCGTGCACTACAGCGCCGGCATACAATTGCACACCGCAGCTACCATGTGCAACACAGCGCCTGTGTAACCACAATGCTTGCGTGCACCGCAGCGCCTGTGCACGCCACAGCGCGTGTCTACACCACAACATCCGCGTGCAACGCAGCGCTGGTGTACACCACAATGCCTGCGTGCATAGGACAGGTAGAAGTAGCATGTACGTGAGGATCTGCTGCGGACAACTAGACGCCACGCCAGGAAATTGTTGATAATCGAATGCGACGTTTTTCCCTCTTCCGTCCTCCTCCTCCTCCTCGTTCTCCTCCTCCTCCTCCTCCTCCACCTCCACCTCCACCTCCACCTCCTCCTCCTCCTCCTCCTTACCCCCCGTCGTGCGGGTTGGCGCTACAGCGCACGTGCGCATCTCAGCGCGCACCGCAGAATGGTCTATTGAATCGGTCCAGTTGGTTCTCGGACGGCCAATTGACCTGAAACCTCCTTGCCGCAAAGGGAGGAGTTAGGGTGATGCGGGCGGACTCGGGAGGACAAGTAGATTCCAGCGGCGCCATTGTTTTCAGTGGAATCCACAGGCGCTCCATTTTGTCATAAGGATTCGTTATCATATTCTATATGTATACAACACTGGTGCTGTGTTGCACACGGCTGTTGTGGTGCACACAGGCGCCGTGGTGCACACAAGCTTTGCAATGCACGCAGGCATCGTGGTGTATACTGGTGCTGTGTTGCACACGGCTGATGTGGTGAACGCAAGCGCTGTGGTGTGCACAAGAGCTGTTGTGCCCGCAGGCACGGTGGCACAAACTGACGCTATGTTGCACGCGGCTGCTGTGATGTACGTAGGCAATGGTGTACACAGGCGCTGTGGTGCAAGCAGGCACTGTGGTGTACACAAGAGTTGTGGTGAAAATCGCCACCGACATGCTGGCGCTACCCGTCATCCGTTATTCCTAGGCATTCCCAATCGCCGCCGGCGCGGAACGTGACGTCATCGACCCCCGTCCATCCCCCCCTTGATGATTGCCGTCATCGGCCCGGAATAAAAAGCAGGTTTCAGCAGCGTCCGCGCGCACGACGACTATGAGCGACGAGCGACAAGCCATGAGCGACGACGACGACGACGACGACGACGACGACGACTGCGGACCAGACTCCTATGCGGATTCATATGCGGACACCTACGCGGATCCCAATGCGCACAGCGGCAGTGCTCGGAGCGCACTGGGGGGCAGTGCCCGGAGCGCACTGGAGGGGGGAGCGTTACGTCATAAGGGGGGTGGGGGCGGGGGCCATGACGCCCGTCATGCCCCAAGCAATAAAGAAACAGGCTCCAACTGGTTGAAAATCCTCAGTCGTGCCAAAACACCGCTCCTGGGACTTCAACACCGCGAATCAACGTGACCGCTGCGCCCACCATGCCAGAACAAAACTCCTGGGATTTCAACACGGCGAATCAAATGACTGCTGCGTCCAAATCGCGCCAGAACAGCATTCTTGGGACTCCAACCATACGAATCCCCGATACTGCTACAAACGTTTGCGTCTACACGAATGTACGTGGCGCTGAGGCGAGAACCACATTTTGAAAAGGCGCCGCCCTCCATCCGTGAAACTGATACAAACATTTGAAACGAATGCACGTGAGGCTAAAAAGTAAAAGCCACATTTTGAGAAGAATTCGCCCTCCATACGCCAAACTGCTGCAAAGTTTTACAACGAATGCGCGCGGCGCCGAGGCGAGAGCCACATTTTGCAAACGGCCCGCCCTCCATCCTGGAAACTGTTCAACGTGTCAAGCATCAGGATCATACGTGGTGAAGAATCCTCGAGCGAAAAGCCAAGCTCGACTTACCGACACGTGTGGGGTGCGCCACGGAGGAGGAGGAGGAGGAGGAGGAGGAGGAGGAGGAGGAGAAGGAGGGAGGAGGGAGGAGGAGGGACGGGGGCAAAGAGAGGAGGAGGGGGAAGCGGAGGAGGGAGGAGGAGGTGGAGAGGAGGAGAAGAAAAAGAGGAGTTATGGAGTTACGAATATTGCGGCTGCGTCGGTTCTTGAATGAGAACAACTTCAACGTGCTGCTTCGAACGCTTGGCTTTCCCGGTCTGCTGTAGACCTTCGGCCGCAGCTCTCGGGAGATCCGATCGAGATAATCGGAACGAGTACCGTTGGCTTCTTTGCTGCATTCGTTGCTGAACTTTGCGAGCTGCTGCGCTGCAGAACGCCCGCAATACTTGCAGAACCAAAGCCTCAGCCCCATGTGAAACGCCAGTATAAAATATACATTATAGATGTGTATGTATACACATACATACATACAGACATACATACATACATGCATGCATGCATGCATGCATGCAGACAGACAGACAGACAGACAGACAGACAGACAGACAGGCAGGCAGACAGACATATATGTATATGTATGCGTAATGAGCGTACCCCCCCAACCCCCACCCCCACCGCGATGTGCACATGTTGCCCAGGAGGAGGTCTCTGAACAACGCCGTCCACAATAATTAAATAAAAATATGGCGAACTCAGCCACTCGGTCTACCGCGTGAGCGAGGTCGACCCGTGACATTCCGAACAACTTCGACCATTCCAGCCAACCCGTGTAGTAAGGATGCGCGGTAAGGATGCAAGGGCCTTGGAGGGCCACGTTAGCGATTCATGAACGAGGCCGGCGAAAGAGAGTCGCTAAGTATGGGCCGAAGGGGCAAGGATGCCAGGGTACCCTTGGGAAGGTTGCCCATCCTCACTATGCGGGTTGACTGTGACCCGGAGGCAGTGCGACGAGGATAACATAGCACACACTCTGACTGCAGGCGGGCGAACGATCGAGGTGGTCGTACGCCGTCTGCGCTTGGACTCCTCTATGATCTCGAGGAGCTCCTCGGCTTTAATGGCTTGTAACGTGTTTTGTCAAATGCGCCTGCGCACCGCCGAAGCTAAATTCTCGGCCCGTGGCACGCGCGCGCGCGTGCTCACAGAAAGTCGTGATACCTCTGCGCCAGCTCCTGCGCGCATCTCTGCTGCAGAGCTGCCTACGGTGAGGTGGCGAGGGGAGCGCTCGCCTACCAGACGCTCAGCACCGAGATGGGCATCAACGGACCAAACAATTGCAATCCAAATCGGGCGTTGGTCCGACCTCACATCCGGTTCTGCACCAGCGGTCGGCATCTGGGCCTGATGGGTTGCGCCACCAGGCTTCCTACCACCCCGTGCACTCTGTGGACTTGTCAGTGGCGTAGGCCGCATGCCCGTGGTTCTCCCTTACGACGACCCGCAAACAACACAGGCCCCCTCGAACAACAAGTTCTCCCGCCCATGGCAAGGTTCCCAATATGCCAAGCGCGATGTCCGCGTCATCATCAAGCCCGTGGAATGGGACAATCCCCCAAGAGCGGCGCGACGAAGGCGAGGCGAGCGCGCTTACTGCTCCTCCGCTGGCGTCGCGGAAATGAACATGGAGGTTGCAGCGGTCCCTCGTCAAGGTCCAGCAGGCTCGCTCCCGTCTGCGGCGCGCCACTGTTCGTCGCACGCGAGTCCCTGACCTCGACCCACGCCTTTGGCAACAGACCACGTGTCGCGAGACACTCCTCACTCTCGGCCTGGGCGCAGGCCTTGGAAATGGATTTACACTTCTCGTGTCATGGGCAGGGCGCGCGCTCCTGGCCGAGCAGTCCGATGCTCGATGGAAGCTCGTCTCGCCCCGCTGCTTGCACCTGGCGCACGCGATGGAGATCTGCTGCGTGCCGCGGGGTTGTCGCCCGGCCCCCGGCCAGAGAAGCCCCGTCGACCTGGCTGCCGCCGTGGACCTCGCAGAGCTCCGGCTTCCTTTGCCCGCTGCGCTCCGTCTGCCCTGGAGCTCACAACAGAAGCCGAACGAGGCGCTCCGGAAAAAAAAGTGCTTCCGGTGTCGACGCGACGTCGGTTTCTCCAAGTGGTTTCATAGTACTACTGCAGCTACAGACCTGAAACTAAGGAAAAAAACACGCCCCTCAATTTACTACAGAAGATGAACATAAGATCTCTTGAAGGATGAACAGATCTCTCGCCATGATTCAAAAAAATACGAGCCCAAAACACCATATTGTATCTTCTGGTCGGGTCGGGCAAGTGGGTCCACCCTGCGCCCGAATTCCTCCAAGCTCGTCGTACCGAAGAGCCCCAGACGGGAACCAGGTTGACGGTTTGTCTTCGTCGTCTTCGTCGTCGTCGTTGTCGTCGTCGCTGTTGCTGTCGTCATCGTCGTTGGCGACGACGTCGGCGTCGGCGTCGGCGCCGGTGTCGTCGTCGTCGTCCGTCCTCATCCTCGTCCTCGCACTCGTCCTCGTCCTCGTCCTCGTCCTCGTCCTCCTCGTCATCGCCGTCGTCGTCGTCTTCGTCCGCGTCGTTTGCCGGCGGCGGCGGCGACGTCGTCGTCGTCGTCGCCGGGTCAGGGGGGTCTGGACCCTCGACTAATTTTCCAGGGGGGGGAGCTTCTGGAGCTCTCCAAATAATTTCCCCAAGGGGGTAGCGATCCCCCCCATCCCCCCCTGGCGTTGGGGAGGGGGAGGGATTGGAACCGAAAATGGGACGGAGTTTAACCGATTGGGGTGGATTACAGCCATGTTGATACAAATTCCAACCAAACCGGTACCAATTCCAATCGATTAAGAAGCTCCTCAGAGATTCCTTAGAGATTTCGTGTCCTTCCCTGCGGGCGCAAGATTCTCCAAGCCCCCGAGGGCGACGCTTCCAATGCTTCCAATGGAAGCGTTTCGTGTTCTTGGGTTCTTGGGGGTTTGGGGAACCCCCGAACCCCCCCCGGGGGATGGATCAGCGTGGGGTCCTACTGCCGGGGTGGGATCAGCGCGGGGGGGGGGGTCAGCGCGTGTCCTACTAAATTCCGATTGCCAAACAAATCAAAGATAAAAGAATTCTGATGGAGGCTGGGGTCTGCGCGTGTCCTCTTAAATGCCCTTTGAAAGACACGTTGAATATCAATGGGTTGAGCCGATAGCTAGACCAGCGCATCCCTCATTAAAGTCCCATTGAAAACCAGAACACTCGTTAAGCAACTTCTACTGGAGATGGGATCGGCGCATGTCCTCTTACACTCAAAGGAACAAGCGATGCTTGATAATATGAGGATCTGCGGAAAGTTGAGCCCATCTCATGTCCTCTTGGATTCCCATTAGCAAGCACATCAAATCTTGAACAACGAATCGGTCTGTTTGGATCGAGACATTACGAACCAAATGCATGCAAAGACAGAGGCAATGCCGCAAAATGCGAATACACTGAAACTATGTTCGGCACAAAATAGACGAACACATATGCTGCATTCGTAGAACAAAGATCTACCCATATCGGACAACCATGAAACAATGGAAATGAAAGGTTGCAGACAAGGCGTCGCCGTCGTCGACGTCGTCGTCGTCGCCGTCGTCGTCGTCGCCGTCGCCGTCGTCGTCGTCATCGTCGTCGCCATTGTCGTCGTCGTCGCCGTCGTCGCCGCCGTCGTCGTCGTCGTCATGCTCGTCGTCGTCGTGGTCGTCGTCGCCGTAGTCGGCGCCGTCGCCGTCGTCGCCGTCGACGTCGTCCTCGTCGTCGTCGTCGCCGTCGCCGTCGTCGTCGTCGTCGTCCTCGCCGTCGTCGTCGCCGTCTTCGTCATCGTCGTCGTCCTCGTGCTCATCGTCGTCGTCGTCATTGTCGTCGTCGCCGCCGTCGCCGTCGTCGTCGTCGTCGCCACTGTCGTCGTCACCGTCGACGCCACTGCCGTCGTCGTCGCCGTCGCCGTCGTCGTCGTCGTCCTCGCTGTCGTCGCCGTCGTGCTCGTCGTCGTCGTCGTCGCCGTCTTCGTCGTCAACGCCACCGTCGTCGTCGTCGTCGGTCGCCGTCGTCGCCATTGTCGTCGTCGTCGTCGCCGTCGTCGCCGCCGTCGTCGTCGTCATGCTCATCGTCGTCGTCGCCGCCGTCGTCGTCGTCGTCGACGTCGTCGCCGTCGACGCAGTCCTCGTCGTCAACGCCGTCGCCGTCGTCGACGCCGTCGTCGTCGCCATCATCGACGTCGTCGTCGTCGTCGCCGTTGTCGTCCTCGTGCTCGTCGTCATCGTCATCGACTGCGTCGTCGTCAGTGTCGTCGTCGCCGCCGTCGCCGTGGTCGTCATTATTGTCGCCATTGTCGTCGTCGCCGTCGTCATCTTCGCCGTCGTCGTCGTCGCCGTCGTCGTCGTCATGCTCGTCGTCATCGTCATCGACTTCGTCGTCGTCAGTGTCGTCGTCGCCGCCGTCGCCGTGGTCGTCATTATTGTCGCCATTGTCGTCGTCGTCGCCGTCGTCATCTTCGCCGTCGTCGTCTTCGCCGTCGTCGTCGTCGTGCTCGCCGTCGTCGTTGTCGTCGTCGTCGTCGCCGTCTTCGTCGTCAACGCCGCAGTCGTCGTCGTCGTCGTCGTCGCCGTCGTCGCATTCGCCGTCGTGGTCGTAGTCGTTGTCGTCGTCGTGCTCGTCATCGTCGTCGTGCTCGTCATGGTCGTTGTCGTCGTCGTCGTCGCCGTCGTCGTCGTCGTGCCGTCGTCATCGTTGTCGCCGTCGTCGCAATCGCTGCCGCCGTCGTCGTCGTCGTCGCCGTCGTCGTCGTTGTCGTCGCCGTGGTCGTCGTCGTCGTCGCCGTCGCCGTCGTCGTCGTCGTCGTGGTCGTCATCGCCTTCGTCGTCGTCGTTGTGGTTCTCGCCGTCGTTGCCATCGTCGTCGCCTTCGTCGTCGTCTTCGTCGTCGCCGTCGTCGTCGTGTTCGTCGTCGTCGTCGCCGTCGTCGTCGTCGTAGTCGCCGTCGTCGTCGTCGTCGTCGCCGTCGTCATCGCCGTCATCGTCGTCGTCCTTGTTGTCGTCGTCGTCGCCACTGTCGTCGTCGTCGTCGTCGTAATCGTCCTCATCAACGCTCCCGGCCGCCGCGGCCGCAAGCCGCCGCCGGCGCCGGCGCCTGCCCCGGGGGAGGGTTCGAACCACCCCCCCCTTGAATCCAGGGTGAGGGGGCCCGGTTCCGACCCCCCCCAAGGGCCTACGGAACGCGCTCTTTCCAAACGAGCAATACAATTCCCACATGAGAAGTTGTGAACAGACCATATACGATTTACACAGGATTCGCACCAGATTACGCAAACCCTCGAGGTGTCATGTGCCATGTAACAGCTCGTCTGTGCAACTTGCACACATGAAGCCTGCTTCCTGGTTCCACTATGAAAATTCTCACTCCGAATTGTCGGATATTATGATGAATCTCCACGCTCCGTTGTTGAGTATGCTACTGCTCGCTGTTTGGAACCCCCACAGCTCCCACTTGAGAACTCAGCAGCGCGTAGATTTACGTTCCAAGACGGTCACGAATCGCGGAACGATTGACCCAAGACGCCTACGATGGCTCCAAGACGCCCCAAGACGCCTTGGAGACGCCCCAAGAGCCTTCCCAAGAGAACGCCGAGAGGCAAGACATCAATGGCGTTTCATTGTTTTTATTGGTTCTGGGGTCATCATCTTCTCGAGCTTCCGACGCTCCGAAACGGCCCTCAGTCGTTCTGGGTATGGTGTGTTGCTGAACTTCTTGATCGGCATCCGTCCCAAAATGCGGAGAGGAGCCATGAGGGTACGGCCCTGGCACTTACCAGTCCCCCCCTGAGGGTACCTCAATCGTGGAGTCTGTCGGAGACGGCGTGTGTATGCAGTACTGCTGCGCGGAACTGAAAAGGAGATACTGTTGGGATAGTGTGGCGGCGTGCATCGACAGGCGGTGCACTCATCGGTGTCTCACAACTTCACGGTCGTAGAATTCGGTATGAATTCCGTACCAAGTGGTGTGCCCTGGAGGGAATGAACATCGTGCACCGAGTCACGCTGGAGGGACTCATCCGCGGCATCCTCGTGTTCTGTGGGCATCTCGGCGCTTCCAGCACCAGGCGCGGGCGTCGCTCTACCCTTTGGTCGCGAGGCTCATGGAGGTCAGAAGGTGGCGTTGTAGCATTTGAACTTGGCTTCGCAATCGTTCCGAACCCGAATTCGCACCCCCCCCTTGGACTCCCTTCATCGTCCTCGTCCTGCCTCCTCCTCCTCGCCTTCCTCCTCATCCTCCTCCTCCTCGTCTTCCTCCTCCTCCTCCTCATCATCCTGCTCGTCTTCGTCATCCTCCTCCTCATCCTCCTCACCCTCCTCCGCCTACTACCCCTCGATCCTCCTTCATTATGTCTCCTCCTCCTCCAAGTCCTCCTCCTCCGCCTCCTTCTCCTCCTCCCCCTCCTCCTCCTCTTCCCACTCCTCCGCCTCGTCCGCCTCCTCCTCCTCCTCCTCCTCCTCCTCCTCCTCCTCCTCTTCCTCCTGCTCCTCATCCTCCTCCTCTTCCGTCCTTATGTCTCCTTCCTCTGTCCTCCTTTCGTCTTCCAAACTCCTCCGGCATCCCTCCTCCTTCTTACTCCCGTCACCCTCCACCTTCTTACTCCC